CAACTGAGCCACCCAGGCGCCCTTAAGGGGTAATGTTAATGTGTGTTTTGAAAGAAAAGATAATTGCTCATTCTTTGAGTGTTCATATTTTATTTATTTTTTTAAAAGATTTTTTTTTTTAAAATATTTTATTTATTTATTTGAGAGAGAGAATGAAAGAGAGAGAGCATGAGAGGGGGAGGGTCAGAGGGAGAAGCAGACTCCCTGCCGAGCAGAGAGCCCGAAGCGGGACTCAATCCCGGGACTCCAGGATCATGACCTGAGCCGAAGGCAGTCGCTTAACCAAGTGAGCCACCCAGGCGCCCTAAAAGATTTTTTTTTAAGTACTCTCTATACCCAACGTGGGGCTTGGACTCACAACCCCGAGATCAAGAGTCACATGCTCTACCAACCACGCCAGCCAGGTGCCCCATGAGTGTTCATATTTTAAATAATTGTGAATGAAAGTTTTATTCTAAAACATATACCTTAGATGTCCCCCCTCCCTGAATCCCCATCCAGGAAAAGTGGGAATAGCCCAATTCTAATATGTATCAGAAGTCATTACTTTCATAAGCAAAATTAAAAAGAGTAACTTGTTCTTTGGGATATTTATGAAAATACTGCTACATGAAACTTCTAAGCAAGTCTAATCAATTTTTCACTGGTGATTTATAAGGACACCTGGGTGGCTTGGTTGGTTAAGCATGTGGCTCTTGGGTTTGGCTCAGGTCATGATCTCAGGGTAGTGAGACTAAGCCCTGTGTGGGGCTCTGTGCTCAGCACCGAGTCTGCTCGAGATTCTCCCTCCCTCTCCTTCCCCCTCTGCACCACCCCCCATGCTCACTTGCTCTCTCAAATAAATGAATAAATATGATCTTTAACCAAAAAAAGGACAAACATAACTTTTTAGGTACAATCAAAGCAGTAATTAAAATATTACTTCCACTCCTTCTCTTCAACCTAAAAAAGCTAAGACCTTGTATACTTTAAGCAATGAATATGCTTTTATTATTAGGAAAAAACTGCTCCTGTTCCCGTGTGTGTGTGTGTGTGTGTGTGTGTGTGTAAGTAACAGCAATGCTAATGACACACTGGAAAAAGAGTCACTTGAATAGCCAATACCAAATAGATGTGTGATTTACAATTATTATCTGGCTTAATTCTTAGACTATTCTGGCAAGGCTAACCTGAAAACAACTCAGGAATGCTGGTGGAATAATGGTCTTTTTGATGGGAGGGGTGTTTGGCAGTCTCCATGATTATATAACAACAGGTTATTTTAACTTACAAACTTACATTTCGTAGAGAAAGGACAAATAGTTTGGGGAAACTATTTTGTCTGAATGAGGCTCCTCTGAACTTTGCTGTTAAAAACTACCTGTTGTGCTCATAAATATTTTGGTCAGAGCCCCACTCCCGAGCTGTAGTTCCATGCCCCCCTGCACCCTCCTTGTATTCTTTCAAGCAGTTTTGAGGGAGGGAGACGTTGGTAGATGAAGAGGATGTTTCATGCCTGCTCCGGAATCTGGTGGCTGGTGTCACAAAGGCCGCGTCCGCACTGACTGGCCCTCCGTGGCCCTCCATGGCCCCTTTTGGCGGCAGCGAGCTTAGCAGCCGGCCTAGAGCTTGCGGGGCGGAAGGGACAGCTTGCCTCTTACTAGCTGGATTCCGTCTGCTTCCGACAGTAACTCTGCCAGCCTGGTGACTGGAACACCACCCAACACTTCACATGATGTTTAACAACAAAAAGTAGAGGGGGTGGGGAGATACAAAACTGAGGCTTGTGGGAAACTCTCCCTGAAAAATTCCTGACGAGCTCTCTTCTGCCTTGGTGGATTTTGAAACAAGACGGCAGAACGAAGCAAGCTGTCTTAGGATCAACAGCAGATAAACACATCTCCTCTCTGGTAGGCAGCTAGCCTGCCCTCTGCCTTTGGAAGTAGTATGCTGAGTGGCTAGTGGCTAGTGCGCTTAGTTCCCTAGCGGTGCGGGGACAAATGACCACAAACTCAGTGGCTTACAACATTAGGAGTTAATGCCCTAGTTCTGGGGCACAGAAGTCCAAAATCAGTTTCCCTAGGTGGCCATCAAGGTGCTAGCAGGCCCGTGCCCCTTCTGGAGGCTCCAGGGGAGGATGTGTTCCTCTTCCCCCTTTTCCAGCTTCTAGAGGCTGCCCGCCTTCCTCGGCTCCTGGCCGCTTCCTCCCTCTCCAAAGCCAGTGGTATAGCATCTCCTCCCTTTTCTGACCCCTGCTTCTGTCCCTTTTTTTTTTTTTTTTTCCAGACTCTGCCTCTTTCTTGTAGGGACCCCCGTGACTGTGATTATACTGGGTCCACCCCAATAATCGAAGGTAATCTCCCCATCTCAAACCCTTAACTTTAATCACACAGTCCCTTTTGCCATTAAAGGTAACATATTCACAGGTTCCAGGGATTAGCAAGTGGACTTCTTTAGGGAGCCCGTTGTTCAACCTACCACAGTTCTCTCTCTTTATAGTCTTAATTCTTTGCGTTCTGTTTTAAAGTGGAAGGCTCAAAGGTCAGGATGAGCCATTTCAGATCTAAGTATTCGTTGTCAGAGAAAACAGAACTAATTCAAATGCCAGCCTTCACATTTAAAAAAATGAGTTGACTTGTCCTTATACATTAATGTGGTTCAAATCACATAGAATATAATGCTTTTATGGACAAGGCATAAAAACGAAAAATTTCAAGGCTTTTCTTTCAATTCCTGCACAGTTGTGCAACAAGCTGTGGAGGCAATGAAGGCGGATAGCTGTGGGAGGGGACAAATCACTTTCTCTTTCCTTTTCCCTCATATTATTACTATCATAAAGGTTCCAAAGCATTTCTTTCAAACGTGATTTGGGATTGTAACATATTGTCAAAGATTATCCATACCTGTACCAATTCTCTGCTAACATAGCAAACTCAGAACTCTTATGTAGATGGGCTTCATATTTCAAAACTTAAGTGATACACATCATTACTCCAGTAAAAGAAAAGCTTTTAAGTTAGTGACACAAAGTGTTTAAGAAACTGTTGCAAGGTCTTGGCCGGTCTGGCTGTGTCATAAAGGCAAAACATGCTGATTGAGACCCACATTCCTTAAGCAGGTGATCTGTGCTCTGGAAAGAGCACCCCATTTACCTTTGAAAACCCACAGTGTAGATGGTCTTAACATTACTTTACCAGTACTTGAGGTTCCAATGTGTTCCCCTCCAGTTCAAAGGCTTACGCCCACAGCCTTCTTAATCTCATCCTGACTCAGTAACCACCAGCTGGGGGCTGACAAGATTATCCTCATTTATTCTCCGGACAGAGACTTGCAAATGGGGTTGTCATCCCTCTAGGATGATGGAGGAGTCAGACTGACAATCTGAGCTGAGACACTCTTTGATAGATACCTCTGCACGGTTCAAAGTCAACACATGGGGAATTCTTATCCCTGTGTGTGACAGGGAGGTCCTTGAATGGATTGGGCTAATGATGTATGCCTGGAACCTTATCATGCCTTAGTGATGCTAAGGGAATAATAACTGAAAGAAGGACTTGGAACATTAATGTGCAATTCATATTGTACCTTTTAAAAAAAAATGCAGTTTAGAAGTAAGAAAAATCAGACCCTAGAAATTTCTGCACATAATGGGCAACAAAAATATTCCGCTAAAAATCATGCCATGGAGTGGGGCGTGGGGGCACCTGGGTGGCTCAGTCCATTGAGTGACTCTTGATTTCAACTCAGGTCATGATCTCAGGGTCATAAGCTCGAGCCCCGTGTCAGACTCTGTACTTGGCGGGCATAGAGTCTGCTTGAAATTCTGTCTCCCTCCACTCCTCCCCAGATAAATAAATCAATAAAATCTTAAAAAAAAAAAAAATCATGCTGCAGGGGTCTTCTGGGGAAGATGGCAGAGCAGGAGGGTCCTTATAGTACACTTAGTGTGATGAGCACTTCGGAATGTGTAGAATTGCTGAATCACTATACTGTACACCTGAAACTATAGGATACGTGTATGCTAATTATACTAGAATTAAAAATTTTTTAAAATCATGCCACAAAAGAAATGTGGGTTTTTAGCGATAAACTTGACAGAATTACTACAGTTACCATTTTGAAATATTTTACTTTTAGTATACATTTTTAAGTGTTAAGCTCCATGCTAAGAGACATGTAAGAATGTATTTTTTAGTTTTACAATTTAAATAGCAGAAAGAAATGTCTTTGACCAAACACTATAATTTAAATGTTTATTTTTAAGCCTACGTCAGAATTTAGAGTAGCTTGAATAAATGGCTAGTTTTTGGTATAGTTGTTTTAGACAAATGAATTTCACATGATACGAATAACTTATTTTCATAAAGCATTTCAATAAATCCCAGAGTTGGTTATTTCTTTATATGTAAATCTTCAAAGTTTCTAAATTTATAATCTAAAACTACTATGGTCGTATTTTATAAAAAGGATTTGGCATATTCAAGATTTCAAAATGTCACAAACAAAATATTACTGACTAAGTGGTTTTTCAGAATTTGGTAACCATCTTTGAAGATAAATTCACAGATTTTTAAAGCTTCAATTTGATTTTGCAAAAAATGTAAGGACAATCCAGCTTAACAAGTTATCTTTAAAATTCAGTTTCCAAGGCAACAATCATAGGTCCCTGTACACTGCTTTAAAAAAATCATTTTTATAAATTTAGTTACTGTAACATCAAAGGCAAGAGTTAAATATAACTGCCTTACTTTTATCTCCTTTTATCAGACTTTCTGAACAGGCCGACTTCTTTCTTTTTAATGGACTAATACCAGATCCCTAATCTGCTGCCCACTAAGTACAAGAAGGTTAAGGGCAGATAAACTGCCAATTTCCAAAGTGGCTGTCTGTGAATCTAGCCTACTGCATGTGTGTTAAGGGCAAACCAGGATCCAGCCCATTGTATATGCATAACAGCAAATCTTATAACTTATTCCTTCTAACTTCGTAACTCAATAAAGCAAAAAGGGAAGAGCTCTTACCTGCACATTTCACTCCCTGAGCAATGAGACCCCACATGAAGTTGGCACAGTATTCACACCAGTGTGGCCCTCTGAATGTATGGACCTGAAAAAGAGTAGTGAGTGACAGAGTGGCCAGAGGGGAAAATACACGGACGAGGAGATTGTTTTCTGTCAAAGCACTGAAATACAAACCATAGTTAGTACCGAAGAGGCGCGGTATGGCTACATTTAGAAAAACCTTGGTTGAGTGGAACTGACAAGCAGTTAAAATTTCTGCCAGAGCTCGATTTCCTCTGTTTCATAAATGGTGATACATCAAACCAATATTCTGTGATTTACTTTGCAAAACAATTTCTACAGTGGTTTTCCAACTCGTCCCCTCCAGCTGTAAGCCTCATCTCTGAGTTACATAAATACTGGCATTTTCTGAGTGCTATGGCATGGAGGAGGAGAAGGAGTGGCGAAGGGTATGTCTGGGTCCCGTCAGGATTTTGTTGGATGACCTACCTTCTGTGACCACAGATGGTGAAGGTGATACTTGGTGACTGGTCACAAGTGAATCATCAAAAAGGGCCAATTTCTGTTCAAAACCATTTGATACTTAATGTGTTAGTTCAGGGAATGAATATATTTTAGAAACTGCAGAAGCTACAGTTAATCAGAAACCCTATTTGAGTGTAGTAATTATGCATGAATCATTCCAGCCTCAAAAACGTTTTACTGCATTTGATTCCTTTATCCCTAAGAAAGGAATCCCCAAAGAGAGGATTCAAACACTAAGATACCTCTAGACTTTTCTGTATAGGAAAGAGAAGCCATTCTAGCTTAACTCAGATGAAAAAGTATTAGTAGAAAAGAGAAGCAAGGAATCCAAACCCCAATATTAAAGAAAAAAAGAAAAAATCTGGAATATTATCATACTTTGAGACTTCTAAGGAAAAAAAAAAAATTTCTGAGCAAATATTGGCTGAAAACACATCCAAGAAATAAAAAGGGAGAGGGAACCAGGAAGTCACTGATCTGTGTATCAAGGTACATTTACCTGAGAAAATTTCTTATATGTATGATTTCCTCCTGCAGAAAACAGTCAGAGTGAAAATCACAAAGTGTGGCGATTTGGCTCCAACATAAATATCTGCCAAAACAGCTACTGCAAATAATGAAATTCGCCATTAAGATGGTCATTTTTGCTACTGTTCTTTTTATGTATCAAATAGGTAAATGATTTTTAAGATAATATATAACTTATTTTTTCAAACTTAAGATGCTATTGAACACAAGACTTATAATGAATGTAAGATGCATATACTCCATTTAGAAAAACCAAGCCAAGTAAATTATGACAAACCATTGATTATAAGAGAAATCCCAATTCCAGAGATGTTAAAATGAAAAAAAAAACAACAACCCATATTACTAAGATCAATGAGAAAAGGTATGTCAGAATTCAGAATACTAATACTGGCTAAATAAGGCTGTCATGGATAACCTGGTGTTGGTTCCTTCCAAGGAGGTATGTGCTTGTGACTCTGGTCACTGCCAAGGGAGCTTGAGTACAAAATGTGTTGATTTTGAAAAGAAGGCCATAATCTCTTCTGTGTCTTCTATGGAAAAGCATCAGGAATGCAGACACAGTTGCTTCTGGATTGTTATTGATGCTCAGTGCCTGTAAATTGAAAGCATTTCCTAGAGTTTCTAAAGCAGAGCCCAGATCAACATTCAGATAGTCTGTGATGTCTTTGTGTTTGTGTTCCCCTGAGTGAATAAAACTGGATAAAGTATGCAGTCTTGCTTTGCTTTGAGGGGAATGAGTGAAACAAGCGCTGACTTGTATAAAAAAAAGTTATGTAATCATGAACTAGCTATAGAAGCATGACGTTAGTTTTAGGGAACGTCTTTGGGATACCCACTGGCTCAGATGTTGCCAGATCTCGGATACTCCAGTATCCCTTGACTTGGTGAGGTTAATAGGAATGGACTAGAAGCATAGACTAGGAAGTAAGTCCCAGTCTTGTACCTGCCAGGTATCTCATGATAAAGGATCTTAAAGTTCCATGTGGGAGAGCAAAAACAGAGTAAATGATGTGAGGTAACTTACAACCGGGCTCGTGGCAGACAGCACTTCGTACTGAGAGGTTATGACAGAACCAAGTCCCTGCCCCGCCTTCCAAACAGCAGCAGTGAGTGTGGCATCTGGGAAATCTTGGGACGTTTCTTCATCTGACAAATAAGGAAGGATTTGAATGGTCCGAGCAGGCTGGCGCTCTGACTGAAGCATCACATGTGAGATCAGAATGCAATCTCTAGGAAATGGTTATTTATACATTTCCCTCTTGGACGGTGCTTTATAAAGGTGTCCGGAGCCATGTGGGACTGCTGCGTGGTTTTCTCTTTGTTTAAACCACTTGGAAGGTAGCTTATACAGCTCTCCAGGAAACGGTTCTAGAAAGGGGACTGAAGCACCGGAAGCTTACTAAACGTCTACTTGTATAACAGGGCTTAACTGGATTCCCTTTTGAATCTTCATAATTCATAATTCTTAAATTTTGTTTTGTGACCTCTATGGCTTGACAATGGACTCTATTTGTAAAAATGGAATATTGTAGCCTTTTTTGTCTTTTTTTATTCCCCTAGAGGACATCAAAACAGAGACTTCATTCAGTGGTCATTTTTATTCATGCATGAGCATTTTTTAGGTAATGACAAACACAAAGATAAAAAGGATGCTGGCTCAAGGAATTCACTGTAGGTTTCTCCCATTAAATACAGTGTGAAAATGCTCCAGAGAAAGTGCCTGCAAAGTGCATGGGAAGGTGGGGGAGGGGCACTGTGCAGGCTTAAGATGCACCCCAAGAGATGGGTCAGCCGGGTGACCTGTGGGGCAGGACTGGGGTGTATGTGTGTTGGAGGGGGTGCATTAGGAAAATTCCTTGATTGTTCCAAGGAAATCAAAAGTACGTGGCTTGAGCCAAACAGTGGGATGTTTAGAGAGTCATAAGGAAGTTCAGCATGGGCACAGGTGGCGATGACCACATGGCAAGAGCCAAGAGAGACAGGGCCTCTCTTTTCCATGCCTACAGATTCATACTTTGCCCAATGAACAATGCAGGGCCACTGAAGATTTTTAAGGTGAGTGACACAGGCAAGCAGGGCTGGCGGAAGACAGATTAGGTAGGAGGCTATGTATGGCAGGAGTCCAGGTAACAGATGGTGTGGGCTGGAACTCAGGCAGCGGTGACGGAGGAAGGGGTAAAGGAGTTATGTAGGAGGCAGAATCAACAGGCCTTGGTAACCAACTGAATCCGAGGCACAGGAGAGGGGAAGAGCGCATCAGCAGGGGGAACAAAAGCAGAACAGGTTTCGAAGTGAGGAGGGAGGGGAACGGCAGATTGCAGACTTCTGGGAAAGAGTGGGTAACTAATGGAGTAAAGTTCCTGAAGATGGCAAATGGAGACAGGATCCAGGGCAGAGGGATTAGCTTTGAATAAGAGCATTATTTTCCCCATTCCCTGAGTTGGAAAAAGGGAAGGAGGGGAGCAGATGGCTATCAGGAGTCATGGGGCCTGGAGGCCAGAAGGCTAAGGGAATTCACTATCTAGAGTCTCTGCATTACGATGGAAGTTCAGGTACTAAGTAAATGAGGAGTTTGCGGGAAAGGGGGGGATAGGAACTGGAACTGGCCAGAGATTCAGAGAAGGGATGCCGGACGTGAAAGCAAGTTTCTTTCTGGGATGACACTAAAGTCACACAATAAATGTCAAGTGCATTAAAGAAAAAGTAAATATTTTTTTATTTTTATTTATTTAAGATTTTATTTATTTGAGAGAGAGAGAGAGAGAAACAGCATGACAGGGGAGAGGGTCAGAGGGAGAAGCAGGCTTCCTGATGAGCCAGGAGCCTGATGCGGGGCTCGATCCCAGGACTCTGGGATCATGACCTGAGCCGAAGGCAGTTGTTTAACCAACTGAGCCATCCAGGTGCCCCAACAAATACTTTATAAAAGTGCTTTATCTGAATGTTTTATTTTATGTGCAGTTTTACATAATCCATGATGTTTATATCATATATTTTACCAATTCAGAAAAAGATATCTTTAAAAATTAATCACACAAATCATGCAACTTCAAGCAGGACAACTGGAGAGCTGTTCCTTCCAGCACGATGGAAATAGGGTGCTGTTCCTGCACACAAAGCTCTAGGGCATGGATACCCGCAGATCATTCTGTTTAATAGATATGGGTATATTCTGAGTACCTGTCTTAAAAATGACTAAATCAGAATGTAATGCGCATTCAAAATATAATAACTAAAAGGTCAAAAGTTGCACTTTAGGGAATTTTTCTGCTTAGGAGGATTCTGGGGTGGAATGTGGAAGACAACAGGCTTGGAGCAGTTCTCAAGGGGTCCAGGGCTTGGCCTGAGGCCCCACATTATAACAGATGGCAACTTTTGCCTGGAATGCCCTATAACATAGTAGAGACCTTCCTAGGGAGCAGCCGCTGGTCAGCATTTGGGGTTCAGAATTACTGATGTCTTTACAACAAAAACAACTGGCGGATAATCATTAGTGACATTTTCCATAGGATTTTAATTCTAAATGGGTCCAGATTTTTTATGTTTTCAAAAGTTTGTGTTTTACTTTTCCTGTTTCTTATTCTCCAAGGCTGTCATGTCAGCTCTTTGTCCTTCTTCCGTACCCCCCTGTCCCTTTTCCCACTCACTGATTCTTAGATCCAGATGAGGTCATCTCAGAGAACTTGCTAGCACTGGATGTAAATCAAGAACATATGTCATCTATATTCCTTTTGAAGGCCTTTTAAAAGAAAAACACAAACTTCTGGCTTCTTATCTGTGTTTCTTATAGTTGAGGCTGATGGGTAGTGGGGACAGTGGTCTTCAGATGAATGAGGTGTTACTAGTATCTTACTTAATTCTATGACATCCACTAATCTTTAGTTAGTGTTTCTTACAGTCTGTTTCTGCTGTTTACTGTGTGACCTTAGTGACCTACGCTGGCTTTATAAGGTGGGAAACTGACCAGCACTATTTCTTCCTTAGAGTTTATCTGAACAAATCACTTGATCAATTTACCCTCCCCCCCCA